ATGCAGATTTATTTAAAGGATTAGGAAGATTCAGTAGGCCATATAATATTAGATTGAAAGAAAATTGAGTTCCTAAAGTAAAGCCTGCGAGAAGGGTACCTCACACCATTTTAGGTCGCTTAAAAGAAAAACTAGAGGAGTTAGAGAAAAATGAAATAATTGAGAAGGCAGATACCAGTGAATGGGTTCACCAGATAGTTGTGGTAGTTAAGAAAAATGGAAAGGATTTAAGAGTATGCATTGACCCATCGGGCTTAAATGACTGCATATCAGATGAAAGTTTTTTGATTCCGACCTTAGAAGATTTGACAACCAGATTGGAAGGGGTAAGTATTTCAGTGTACTTGACTTGAAAGACGGTTTCTGGCACGTGGTGCTAGATGATGAGTCACAGAAATTATGCACGTTTGCAGCCCTATTTGGAAATTTTAAATTTTTGCGGATGCCATTCGGCATTAAGTCAGGTCCAAAGGTATTTCAAAAGATGAACCACGAAAATTACGGTGATATTATGAATGTTTTTGCGTATATGGATGACTTACTGATTACAGGGAAAACGCGGGAGGAGCATAATAGGGCACTAGTTGCAGTGCTAGAAAGAGGTAGAAAAAAAGGTGTCAAGTTCAACAAAAGTAAAATGAAAATAGCTGTTACTGAAGTCAGTTATTTAGGCCACGTTTTTTCAGAAAACAAAATCTTACCAGATCCAGATAGAATTAAAGCTGTTGTAGAAATGGGTCAACCCAAAACCAAAAAATACTTGCAAAAATTTTTGGGTGTTATAAATTACATGCGTTCGTTCATTAGCAACTTATCTGAGTTAACGGCTCCGCTTCGTGAAATGCTTAAGAAGAATATATTTTTTAATTGGACTGAACGTCATACAGAAGCTTTTAATAAGATTAAAGATCAAGTCATCAAAGCACCTATTTTAGTACCCTTCGATGAGAAAAAATGCATACAAATATAGTGCGACGCATCAAAAGATGGCCTGGGATGCTATATGCTGCAAGATGGCAAACCTATTGCATTCGCGTCGAGATGTTTGTCAGAATCGGAGAAACGCTACTCACAAATTGAGAAAGAATTCCTATCTATTCTGTTCGCTTGCAAAAAATTTAAGTTTTATATGTTTGGATGGAAAATTAAAATCATTAATGATCACAAGCCGTTAACTGCAATCGTAAAAAAGGAAATTCACAAAATTCCTTCCGCTAAATTGCAAAATATTCGATTGAAACTACTAAATTTTGAAATAGAACTTGAGTACAGACCGGG